TTATTTATGTAATGACTTTTAATCACGATTTTAAGAACCTATTTTCTTCACCAGAAACAGCAGTTTTTACTTCGTATCATGTGAGCAGTGTCAGGGAGGACAAAGAACGGTCAGTATTACGTGACAACTGAATAAAAACAGGAGAATAAGTCGGAGAGAGGCTACCAAAAACACAAGTACAAAAACAGCTATAAACCAGAACAAACGTTGTACTTTTTATCAGTAAATTTTATTGTTATAGCAGATAGCTGGCGAATTGTCAACTATAATAATTTTTCTTTAGACGCCACATGAGAGCTGCAAGAAAAAAAAAAGGCTGCAGAAGCGAAAAAAAAGAGTTAAGACAAAAAAGGGAGCATTTACAGAAAAATGTTTAAAAAAGCGAAAGGAATGAAAAGTGGAAAATAGTGGCTAAATTTTCTTGTTTTTTTCTAAATTTTTTGCTTCGTTCTACTGTAAAGCTATTAGGTGCTCAAACGATGCAGCTTGATAAAAGTTCTAGAAATAGGTTTTGTTTTGTTATTTTCTCGTCTGGAAAGAACCTGTGCTCCTGAGAAATGTATTACAGATTTTTGCCAACTTAGTGGAAACGAACGCGGATCGTTATCGGTAAAAGTACTGTACACGTCAGGTACCCATAAAACTATATGTTTTGTATAGTTGAAGCCAATAAAATAGAAGTGAACGAATTACTAAAGAAGAATTAATAAGCCAACATACTTAAATGTCGTCCATGTATTTTCTGCAAGAAAATTTGCTGCTAAAAACCAGACTAAAATTTCATTCATTGATCCTATTAGGAATTTTGTCTTTTCCCTACCTCACAGTTTTTTGCATCTTGCTCACCACAAGGGTTTTGTAGACGACTGAGAAGAAGAAAGTTACAAAGCAATGTGAAAAGCGATATGTTAAGTTGCAGATTAATGCTTAAAATGGGAGATTGCAATAGCATAAGACTTCAATACAAAAAGGAGGTGAGTGACTGTATTATATTTTCCGGTAGTTGTTTTTGAAGACGTGCAAAGAACAGAACTTTTTTCGAAACAGAACTGTCAGGTTCAAAACCCAGAAATTTCATGCGTTTATTTTCAGTCACAGTATGCGTGGAAAAAACCTCTCTACATCATTTTTTATGCCACAACTCGTACTACCTATACCACACAACGTCAGCACAGCAAGCAAACAGTCGACGCGAATCGGTTAGTTACGGTGTTTAGAGTGCATATTATGCTTTTATTTTCCTGAATGTCTTACGCAAAATTCAATATTACAGACACAGTATTTATCCGCTTACTGCAGAGGGATGGTCTCTGCCAGCGGTCAATATTGAGGAAAGTTGATGAACCCGTTTAGAAGAGCGATATTCAGACAAATCAGAACGAAATGGCTTGGCAAAAGAATGTTGTCAAGAATATTCAGACGCAACGCATCTTCTGCAGCGTGATTTTTTTTAAAGCTAGTGCTTTGTTTGGCACTTTTTGCTATCTTTTTATACGTGTATTGTTCGCTTGCATACTTTACCTTAAGACAAAGATTTGTCTCATTGTCGTTATAAAGTGTAAGATTTCTTTTATAGATGCATAAATAACAAAGTGAAAAAGTTACTTTGCTCGTTTCTTCATAAGTCTCTGGATGTTCCCTTCTTCAATTCTTGTTTGTGGGATACATCTAGTTAGGTTAGTCATCCTAATGGCTGTGCAACACTCAATTGGAATGGCGGACGTTTAGAAGATGGGAGGAGCAGTTTACAGCAGTATACTGACAGATAATTATTGTCTCATGTGAAAAAATGGATGACGATGGTTTTTTTATTATTCTGCCGCAGTATCTCCTCAGCATTTGCCGATCTTTGGTGTTCGGGTTCTAAAAATAGATAAACTTATCTTGGAGCGAAGTCTTTCATGTTTTGTTTGAGTGTTTTTGTTCGAGTGTTTGTTCAAGTGTTCGCGTGTTTGCGTTTTTGTTATTTTGCAAATTTGGAAAGCCAGATAATTTTTGCTTCGTTACACTTAGACTACGGTGTATCGTGACTCAAACTGTAGTAGCAGCGCCTTTTGAGTTTCTCTTCTGTACGGTCTAGAAACTGTTGTTACAGGTGGCCTTTTGGAGTTTATTGATGTAAATTTCTTGATTTTTCTACTTTTTAATTTTTTCAAGGTACTTAGTAATTTTGAGGTGAAGATGTGCAAGGAAATATTCTCTTTTCATTATATACAGCACTGGCGTAAACCAATTGAATTGCAGAAGTAGGTTACCATTCTGTTTAACCTGTTTAAGCCGTATATTCTTCCAATTTGGTCAGAAATTTCACTTTAACAGCTGATAGGTGTGAAATGACTAATGGATTTGCGAATTTTATCCACTAATTTTTTTGATGCATCAGTTTTCGTCATGATTTGGCAAAGCATTTGAGGAACAAGTTTATTTGTGGCATCAAAGTTGCTTGAGAAAACTGTGCAGAAAAAGGAAGATTTTTCATCTTTGTTCTCAGTTATTGTTTAAGAATTCGTGCTAAAAATGTCAAAATTTCTAGAGAGTAAGTTGTTGATGTTAATGGTGTTTTCTTGAAGTGTGTGACAGTTGTAATTGCAATTGATTAGGCACCTAATATTGTGAAGAATGTGATGTCGAATTCATAGGAAAACCGTCAAAAAGTTGGCATTTTAGGTTCTTTACGCTACTTTGTGTGTCTTATTTATTTTCAATGTTCACTTTTTCTCGCACTGTATCGTGAATTTGATGTAAAGGCTGCTTAAAAATGTGCAGTTTCTTTTCGATTTTTTAGCAGAATTTGTTGGAAGAAGATGATGAAGATAAAAATAAACTCAGACGCCTTCGCCACTGTAATTGATGTAGAAAACAAAATTGGCTTCTGGAACGGTGATGATACTATCACTAGCATTGGGTTCAATTAAATTTTGCGTAAATTGCAAGTGTGATTTCGTGAGAGGTAAATGGATTATAATTTGGTAACTTAATGTAACTTATAATACATTTCTTTCGTTGTATCACCGTTAAACCCGCAAATATCAGACCCTGCATATTGCATGCAAAACGGGTTAAATTCCACAGTTTTTATTATTGCCGTTCGTAGATCGTTCTAATTTGCGTAATTATTTCTAAGCCAGTGACCACCGTACCTTTCAGAGAAAAAAAAATTTGATCTAAATTGTTGAAACTTAAAAAATCTTTTTTTTAATTTAGAAATGCCTTATTGGAAATTGGTTCTATCAACTGTTCAAGAAAAAGTGGAAAGTATATAGAAGCAGTGAAAATTAAAACCTTGAAATTACAGCTCCATGTTCACTTAAATCGACAGCGTTTGGTGCTACAGCAGTGACCCTCATTTCAGATCAAACATACAGATTTTTAGTATCGCAGAAGTTGTACGACTTTCTTCCTGAATTGCTAATCATACGCGACGTTTTTGATAAAAGGTACTGCTGAAATTTTATTGAAAAACTGCTTAAAATTTAAACTGACTTTCTGAAGCTAGCCGTTATGGTATTTTAAGCTTCTTTTAAACAGTTTAAGGAGGCTTTACTATTACTTTACTACCGCTAAGGGAAACTGCCTGAGTGGAGTATGAAAGATTGTCCAGTGTGAAACTTTCACCAGCAGGGTACGATAACTTAAGGTTTTCTGGCGGCTTTTCACCTGCAATATCTCTAACTTAAAAATACGCTAAGCGAACTATTTAATTCAATGATCAGTGTCAGAAATGTATTAATTGACAGTGTACCGATTGATGGCGTTTCTGACTAAGCAGCTGGTGATTTCTTGATTTCTCTATTTGTTTGCAACGAAGACAGACGTGACGCTGAGATTGCGTTTAGTTTAAGTCTAGCAGGGTTATTTAGAAATGCTCTTGTATAGTTTAGTAGCATTCCATTCGAGGGTTCGCTAGTTTAGCCAAATAGACTTTTTCTCTTCTTGCATATGGGAGTTTTTCCTCT